TGAATTCTGCTGGGTAGAAAAATTCAGAAACATGTACTTGACAGTGTAGCTGTGTAGCTTGACCGTAAAGAAGGAAAAGAGAAAGAGTTGGAAGCAACTGGAGTAAACCTTAAGAGAACCGAGTGCAGGAAAACGCTATTCTCCAGTTCCAGACGGACAAATATATGATGTTTGTGTTGGTGATTGCGGTGGGGAGTAGTCTTCTACACTACAGTATGGACGACTTTTCAAAAGTAAACGAAACGAGAATCAAAGTAGTGAGTTCTTATCCGAGCGGACACGTTGAAGTTCGATGTCCCCGTGAAAAAGAAAAACATATCAGTCATTAAAAACATTGCCTTGATGCTGTTGCGAAAGCGATTTATAAATAAATAATTCTACGCGCCCTCGGCTGTCTAAACTTACTTGACAGGCAGTTGTCACTTTTCTAATCTGCAGCACGTTTGCGGTGACAGTTTTCATGCTTTGCGGAGTCCCGGGGTTTCCGGAGTGGAAATGAATATTTATAAGAGATCGTTGCAAGCTCTCCTTTCCTCAGCCCCTCGCTCGCGCATTCTCCCGAGGCTCGCTTCTCTTGCTCAAATAGGAGAGCTTGCTCGCAGGCTATGTTTTGTGTGTTTCTGTGATTCAAAGTCGGTTGCTTGTGATTGTAATTATGATTGACAGTGGCGAAAAATGCTATTTATTATAAGCTGAATTTTAAGTTTCAGAGTTTGTGTTATCGAAAAGTGCAGCAATAAACTGAGTAATGTGCTCAGTTTTGTAGTCACACACAGCATGAACAAAAGATTTCTGTCTTGAATTAAATCATGCTACACCTGCAGGGTTGTCAGAAAGTTTTGAAGTAGACGGATGAGTTGTCAAAGTAAGCAGCCAGTCCAGGGATATTTTATTTAAAAAATGCCATCTGTAAAGAGATGTGAAGCAGAGTAGCTGGCCGATACCAATCAAGTAGGCGGCGATTTTCGCCGGCAGCCAGCTACTTTTGACAACCCTGCACCTGGAAGATAAAGCACGAAGAAAAGAACAAGAATAATGTAGTACTCCTCACCTCGAAAAGAAGATTGCATTTCTGCTGCTTCATCAAGAGGATCGACATTTAAACAATACAACATAGTCATCAACAAAGTAAGAGTGACACTGTCCAGTGTCCCATCTGCCTCAGTGGATGGACACTTCTTAAGAAAGGACAATAGTTGAAGACAGTCACTTCTTGGGAGAGGTGATTGACAAGCAAAGCAGAAGAGACATTCTGCTAAAAGCTGTCTTTGATCTGTAATGAAGTCTATTAGTTGCTGTTTGTGACGTTCATCTCCTATTGCTTGTCCTCTTTCAAGCTTATCAAGTTCTTTTTGAACATCAAGCTGATCAAGTTGTTGAAGAATTGTTGTTGTTAATCCTAGAAGACAAGATAAAGCAAAGATAATGAACAGGTGCAAGACAATAATAATATTATATTTGCAGGAACAAAATTGTTCCCCATGTATAGTTTTTAGATGTTGTTTCACAGTGGAGCTTACCAGTACCAAAAACTAAGAATCATTTTCTGGCAATATTTTCCATGATGCTCAACTTATAAGATGTAGGTGTAATTATGTATAATGTGTTCATATTCATTAACGTATTGCTAACTTTTCAGTAAGGAGATACTTTGGTTGGATTGAGTAAAGACAGGTAGTCATAATGAGAAGAAGGGAGTTTGGTGACATGTTCTTTGACTTGTGAAAACAGTGTTGAAGGCAGAGGTGGAAGAACTAAATCAACAAAAAACTTTAAGAACAAGCATTATGACCAGATTACCCTTCAATCTGCTTTTGCATCCAATGATCTCATTTTTATTAGGTCATGAGTGGCAAAGTCATAAGTAGAGTCAGAAGAAAATGGATTGTGTTCTGATTCTCATGACTTTGATACTGTCAAGCTTATGGGTGCATTCCATTGGGACGATCTGTATAAAGTGACCTCACTGATCCTGATCATCCCAGAGGAATGCATCTTGACTCCATTTTTTACATTTATGATATTGCTCTAATGACTCTGTTACAATGGATTATGGCTCCAACTCTGATTCTATTGTTGGTGAAAACCATCCTTAATAGACTGATACTACCTTGTTTCAAGAGCTCATCCGTAAATTTTGTAACCAACTGCATTAAGTCCTCATATAGACCAAGTGTCCATGTCATTCCCTCACGTGACTGGATCAATGTTCTCAAAGCACTGGCTAGACACCTCCGTCCATCATGATACAAGAGCACTGCTACAAGTCCTCTTGTTAGACCAGGAAAATTGGGTTGCTGCTGCTCACCAGCGAGAAGCAAATCCGCACAAACAAACTCGTTCAGTTCAAGGATATCACTGAGTATGAGAGATTCTTGCACAAACTGCTCAGGGAGCTTTTGTTTCTCGGTATCACCAGCCAGTTGAAGGCCAGTGGTTGGTGCTTTTTTCAACTGTTCTCTATGGTCTGCATTTTTCACCTAGTGTTCAGAGATAAACAAAGTCGTTTCCTTTTTAGCCTGCTACTTCAATTTCCTATTGCGAGGTTTGTACTTGTGAAAGCTCTAAGAAATTTGTATGACCTTTTCATGGTCTAAATTTAAGCGGTTGTTTTCAAAATCTTGTCAAAAGGATACTATCTTTAGGGCACTTCCTGTCTTGCAACCCAGTTTTCTGACATACTATTTTTTTGTTTTAAGTGTTATTGTCTTGTTGACATTCACAAGCCTGCATGCAGATGTGTCATTTTAGTTTGCTGCACAAAGAAACGGGACTTCTACATAACAATGTGGCTTGTCATGCTCCACAATCCCACTTTTGCTTTTAAATTTTGAATACATTAATAACTTTTTTCAAGATGTTGTGCCTCACCAGACATATATATATCGTAGAAACTGTCATTTGAATGTATACAAAGCTGGTACAGTTCAGTTACAAGGCTTTTATTTTGGCTTAATTTAGCCTTTTCCAGGCATTCAAATACAGTGGTACCTTAATTTAACAAAGTGCCGAGGGACTGGGGAAATTTGTTCGTTACATCGAGGGTTTGTTATATCGAACACTTCCATTTAACGAATTTTCGGGAAAATGACTTAAATGTTCGTAATATCGAGGTAAAGTTAATAATTAATTTATAAAACCCAGCATTTCTAGATCTGAAAAACTACTGTGATAACATTTCTACTGAGCTATACATAGCTACGGCACTAGGAACTCAAAAACAGGCAAACAAAATTGCTTAAAGCTACACATGTACTGTACACATAAATTCTATCCTTGTTGGT